ATTATTTTAACCTTGATGTAAAATTACTCTAAAGATAATTTTGTATAAATAAGAGCAAAAATGTTAGATATAAATTAGTCTTCAGATTCAGTTCAATAAAGAAACATTAAAGATAAGTTTTGTTTTTTTATTTATTTAATTCATACGAAGGTCGTTGAAACGCATTCATACAGAATGTGATGGAATGACTCATTCGCACTTGAAATTTTATATGCAAGAATGAGCCATTTGCATCTCATTTGTGATTTTTGACCAAAATGAGCCATTTGCGGCCAGTGTAAATGCCATATTAATTTGCAGTATACAAAATAAAACTAATGAATTGACCAATTATCAAAAAATTCATTAATTTATATATAATACACATTGATTTATAATTTACAAAATAGATAAAATATTTATTTATTTACAATTACCAACTCTGTCACTTAATAAGGCAAAATACTTTCGTTAGTACACTGACCACGAAAAAACTGATATTATAATATAAATAATCTAATTTGATAGCAACTTTCTATATAATATAAAGGCGTAAGTCTTAACAATACATATTATTAATATAAAAAAAAACAATTCAGAAGTGTATACTTAGCTTGCATAAAATACAATAAAAAAAACTAATTTTTATTAATTATAAATATTTATAATATATATAATAATTTATAAAGACGTTTCCGAAAAGTAGTTAAGTACAACAACAAAATTTCATTTTATAAAATTATATAATAATTTTAATTTTTTTTTAAAATTTATTTTCTTATATTGCGATCTGTCAATTCGGAATAGACAATGAACAATATTTAAAAGTGATGAAATACTTAAAATTTTTGTGAGCTTGAAGGGACTGTGCTCAGTAGTACATCCCTCTGTTGGAGTCGGACACATTAAAGTTCCTGTGGCATTTGTTTGCGGAGGCGTGTGAACGCTCTTCCTTCTGCTATCATTCTGCTCATAAAGTGGTTGGGATGATGTAACATACGTTTTTTGTGTTTACTGGTTTGACTTTTTATAACATCCTTACCTACGGGAATGTTGAGATCGCGATGAAGTTCCCGTATCAGTACCAATGGTGGTAGGCAAGTCGTTAGTGAAGAGTAAGTATAACACAGGTCCCAAGACACTGACTTGTGGCATTCCAGCCTGAATTGGCTGCAAAGTTTAAATTTCTTCCCCCGTTTTACAAAGAAATATCGTGATTCGATGTAGGATTTTAAGAAAATTTAGTAATTAGTTGGGAGCATCTTTTTAAGCTTAAACCACAGACCGTTATGACAAACTTTATCAAATGCCTGGGATATGTCCAGAAATACTGCTGTGCAGAACTCCCTTTTGTCAAATGCTGTGTGTATAACATTAACCACTCTGTGTACTTGCTCTATTGTACTGTGCTTTTTTCTAAAACCAAATTGATGTTTCGGAATTAGTCTCCTTCTATTGACAATGGGCAATAATCTGGTAAGAAATAAATTTTCCAACAACTTGGACATAACCGGTAGAAGACTAATTGGTCTATATGACTTAACATCTTTTGCCATTTTCCCAGGTTTAAATACCATGCTAATTTAAACCACCTTGAATGGAGGAGGGATAAAGCCTTTTGTTACGATAGAATTAAAATTATTTCGCAGTAGTACTATTGCTTGATCCGGTAACTCCTTTAATATCTTTGAAGTAATTAGATTATAGCCGGGTGCTTTATTAATTTTTAGTTTTTTGATTTCGAATTTTATGTCGAAAATGGAGAATTTTCATATTGGAAGGTCCAGTTGGTGCGTTTGCTGTAATACCTCTCTAATCTCTTCAGTTATACTATTCGGGGCTACATTAATGTTTGAAATAAAAACTGTAGACAGATAATCCGTAAATACTTTGCATTTTTCTATATCTGTTCGGGCCCATTGCCCAAGTTCATTTTTTACTGGTGGGTTGTGCGTTAATGCCTTTTTTGATTGCTCGCCAGAGTGAGTTGTTTGTGGAAGGAGTTGCGTCTAGTCGTTGGAGATTTCTTTGTATTTCCAAATTTCTGGTTGTTTGCAGATGTTCTTTTAGATTTTTGATGAGCACATTGAA